TGAACCCTAAAGCCTAAACCCTAGGCCTTAAACTGCAATCTTGCAACGCTAGGGCTTGGTCTATGGTCGGCGGGTATGACGCGGCACAACCAGGATCTGCGCTGCTGCAGCAACCTGACCGCCTTCAGTTAAAGAAAAGAGGATCATAGTATGTTGGGTCTATGGGTTTAGGGATTCATAAATTATTTGGGTCTATAGGTTTCGGGTTAGGGAGGATTATCGGATTTAAGGTTTGGGGTTTCGGGATAGGGAGGACTATTGTATATTGGGATTGTTTTTTAGGGTCCCCATCTACGGGGGGGGCCCCATGTCACGGACCCTAGGGAGCCTTGTAGAAGTTTAGGGAGTCCCTGGTTCTGGGCTGACCGTCCCCTAAGTAAGAAGGTTTTGGGTTTTGCTGGAAGGTATGTCTAGACGTTGTCAGTGTGACCTTAAGCCCTGAGCCCGAAAGCCTGAGCCCTATAGTGCCCCTGAAGTAGATAGATTATGGGGTATCTGGGGATCTTATTGCAATATACTCAAAGCCATACTCTATCTACTTAAGGGGTGCTATAAGCCCTAAGCTCTAAAGCAAAACAAATTCTGGCGTTCATGACTTTGATCAGCTCAGGGATGGGTATTGATACTGGGCACGAGGAATGAAGGAGGGTGCTCAGTCCTTGTATAATCCAAGAATGATTTCTATATATATATATATGCGATTCCTTCAGTCCGTACCAGCCACCAGAAACTGATCAAGAACTTGGGCCAAAATGCATCCCCTTTGAACAGCGCTGCCCTAAACCCCACGCTCCAATCCTTAAACCCTGTACTCCAGACTCTGAACCCTGTGCTCTTAACCCTAAACCCCTACACCCTAAACCCCCTCAGCCTCAAACCTAAACCCTTGCAGAGGTACATGATGCGCGATATGCCAGATGGCTCTCGACAGCCCAGCATCATCTACAACGGGTTCCTAGGCACCCTGATCTTTGGGGGTCAGGGTTCAGGGTTTAGGGCTCAGGGTTTAGGGTAAGGGAGGGACAATAGGGAATACACTTCCTTGAAGGGAGACCCTATCCAAAAATGAAACCTTCCTCATGGCCATTCGGGATATGTCTTTTGGAACACCTGCCACACGTCTTCCAAAAAAAACGTATCTACGTCTGGGACCAAGCCATCTGACCCCTAGACACCAAATGCCAGCGGCAGGTGGTTTGCAAGCGCTCCAAAGGGATTCGGTCTTGCAACAACGCAACCAAATTGGCTGCAAAAGGTTTCAAACTGGTTCAAAGAAAATCCGGCATTGTTGAGAGCTTGACAACGTAAGGTTTAGGTTTCAGGGTTCAGGGTTCATATCCTTTGGTCGTGCCATTCCACCTACTGGTGCTTAAGCAGGATTGGGGAAGCGAATATAGGTGCCATTCTAGGGTTTTCTATGGGGATTATATGGTAGTTTCCCAAAATTAGGGTACCCCAATATGGATGTTTCCGTTTTTGACGCGCCCCCTACCTAAGATTACTAGGGATGTGGGGATTAGGCGAAGCAAGCCCCGAAGCAAACCCCCGAAGCAAACCCCAAAGCAAACCCCGAAGCAAACCCCCAAAACAAGCCGCGAAGCAAACCCCCAAAATGAACCGATGTTGGATGCAAATTTT